AGAACCAGGCTCAGTGTGAGCGGCCATCTGCTGAGGCCCACTGGGGTTCAAGGAGACAGAACATTAGTGTTCACGTGTTCCTCAAATGCTCTTTACATTTCCATTACCAAGTCTGACCAAGAGTCATTTAGTGGAATCCTGACGTCTATTCGCTGCTAGCTGTTTCAAAGAGGGTAAAGAATCATTTAACTAAAGGTTTTTGGTTCTTGATTAAGCAAATCATTTAATAAAACATAATCTGGCCAAATAATGTTTTATTCACCTCATGGATTTGCATTGTGAATTGGTCTGAAAACATTCCAATTTCTTTAAAATTAGTGAAAAGCTAATTTGATCACATCCCAAATTCTTCCAGATAAACTTTGGTTTCAAACACAGAATCCATCTTAAACTGTAATATGTTTTCCAACCATGTTCCCCTTCCTCTTTGAACATAGTAGTTTAGTTTAGTTTAGTTTCACTAGTTTTAGTTAAGAGTGTTAAACTGAAATATGTTTGACTTGGAGCTGAATGATTTTTGTTAATAAACTCTTATATTTTGAGCAGAAGATAAATTTATTCCATGAATGTGCAGAATTAACTGTTTGACCATGATTAGAGCTCGAATCACTCTTTTATTTATTGTTCTAACACACAGTTGGTAGGACTGTGTGTCATAAACAGTATATAACAGCTGAAATAATACCTGATTAAATAAGGTATGTTACCCCCCCTACCAGGGAGGGCAATAAACATCTTAAAGTATCAGAAATATTAATTCCTACCTGGCTGGGTATTGAATAGAACATAAAATCACAACATTAATATCTCAACTAACATTTAGAAAAAGCAACGTAACATTTGGCTGTTGCAGTAAATTCATCTATGATACAAATGAAGGCAATCCTTTTTCCATTTAATCTCTCCTTGCTTATAAACCTGGACATTGATGGCTGGAGAACATATAGGAGAGCTTTACCTCCTCTGGAACCTCTGCCACCACCTCCATGTAGCGCTGAATCACATCCTCAGACCTCTGAGCCGACGCTGGAGGGGAGGGGCAAGAGATAAAATATAGAAAACAACAAAAACATTTAAAAATGAGGCAGTAAGCATAAGAAAAACAGTGAATTTTCTAACTACAGGTTCCTTTTTTTTATAAACAATGATTATTTCCATCATAAAAGCAATCTGGTGAGAAGAAGACAAACAAAGTGGCGTGATGAGAAGCATGATGGATGGAGACGGACATGAATGACGGGGAACATCAAACCTTCCTCGCAGGGTGAAGAGCGTTTCAGATAACTCTCGATTCAACGTTTACATTTTCCCATCAAGTCACTTTGATCTTTTCATCCAAGCTGAAAGTTGGAGTTTATTCCAGATTAACAAAAAAAAAATGAATAATGCAAATTACTGCATAACAACAGATGGTTTCTAATGGAGCCGATATTTATCAGGCTGCTAAACGTCACGCATTCGCCCTGCACACTTTCACACCCAATAAAGATGGAAGCAGCTAAGATGCTAAAGTGCATGCAGGGCTGAAAACATTAAAATGATTAAATAAAGAAAAAAAGATTTTTTAAAAAGCTGGTAGGAAAAACATTGAGCCCGGCGGGCCCATCTGACACCGGCTTATCTTTATCTATTTATAGAAATAGCCAAAATACAGTCACATGGTGTTTCATCCACACACCTTTTCCACTGGGGCTTTAAAATTTCTAAAACAAGTTTAAAAATAATTTTTTTCACAAATACATTTTGTTTTATAGGTGTGTAAACAAATAAAATGAGATTTAAAATTCCACCTGACTCTGTGGGAGTGATGGAACAGCAGGTACTCAGTTTTAGCCCCGCCCCCTAACGGCCGGTGCCCTTTTTATGACGTCATCATATGGCAACTCCACTCGGACAAACTGTATTACACCCGTTTATTAAGGATCGAAACTCTTTTGGATCCTCAACATATTATTCCCTATATTTGCTATTATTTTACATTTCATCTGCGATCTAAAGCAGCTGAAAGTAGAAAACAATCATCGTCAGTCTGGAAGGAAAGTCCCGCCTTCTAAGCCGGACTGAGCTCGTTTTTATTTTTACTAAGATCTGACGGCAGAGGAGGACGAATGCGACATCTTAAAAACGGACTTTCGTAGAAATTTTAAAACAAGTTATTCTATCTGTAGAAAGTGAACAGTTGACACGAACTTAAAAGTAGTGTAGCTTAGTGTGGCTAACAGACCGAGCTAAAAGAGGCTAACCTGCTAGCTAGTACCTACTGAGCACAGCTAGCCACAGCGCTAACCAGCTCCCCCCTTTATATCGTGATCATATTTCCTCCCAGCACTCTGCCCACTAAAACCTCTGAGAAACAAACACGCTTCAACTTATTCAGTCTAAATTTGCTTGACTTATAGTGAAGCTGTGGATCTATAAAGTCTGAGGTTCATCCAGAGTTTCAAATGGGCTTTCATGGTGTTTTGCAGTGTTTATTTTGGAAAAAAAAGTTGTCATGGCTAAAATTGTTTTTTTATCACCTATAAATCAGACATGGTGACATTTAAAATTGTGGCTCAACCTGAAAAATATTCCTCAATGTCTTCCTGTCACACAAATTATATTATAGTTTATAGTTTCAGGTGGAATTTGCTCCTAAGACCCTCAGGGCTTACGGGGTTAACAACAATTAAAAATCTCTTTGGATCAGGTCTTCCTGTAGGGCGGCGGTAGAGGGCAGCAATAACCAATACTGTCCATCACATTTCTCTTTCACAATAAGAGATGACTGCTTCATTTCTAAACATACAAACCTCGCCTTTAACCTGATATTAATTAGTTTGTAAAGTTTGATAGTAAAGAACACGCGGCGGACACCTGGTAATAAGGTCGTCCTTCAATTTTGGTCTGTTGGCGAAGAGATGCAGGGCACGACAGGACTTCAGCCCCCCTCATCTAAATGATACGGATTTGATCTTTTTGGACTCTAATTAAACTGCATTAAAAAATGTGCATCCAGATATGTTCCAGTTACATTGCAGTTAGCTAAAGAAAATGCAGTAAATTCTTTTTTTTTTTTTTAGTTGTTTCATTTCAGTTTTAGCTGGTTTAATTTAATAAAAAATCTTCTTTAATGATCTATCTGATTATTAATAGAAAAAAAATAATCAACAGATTAATCTAATTGCAAAATAATAGTTCGTTTCAGGCCTACTTTAATCCAGACCAGCTTCTCATTATTCATGACTTGGAAATTATGAACAGAAGTTTTATTCATCCAAGTCTGAGAAGGATCCTTACAAATGACACGAAAAACATGGTTTCAAAATGAGGATATAAGGTGAACAAAAGTCACCATTTTTATAAAATAAAACTGATCTGATTAAAACTATTTTAAATTTAAGGGGAATTTCCTTCCTTTAATCATCTGGTAGTTGAAACACAGAATTCCTTTGAATGTTATGAACTCAAAATAACAAAATGAGTCAAACTAAGATGATTTCCTGAGCAACATGGCTGCTTTTAGTGATAAATGTTAATGTAGAGAACATCAGCAGTCTTTCTGTCCTTTAACAGCTTTTTGCAGATCGGTTGTTTCCCAAAAGTTGCTGCAGATCAGAGGTTTAGCATCAACACTACAGAGTTAACGTAACAATGTGATTTAACTCATTTAAACTAGTCTCTGTGTCACCATCATCTCTGTCTATTTTATTTAATCCTCTTTTAGAGGATTAAAAAGTCTAATGACTGCCTTCATCCTCTTCACTTAAATTCATTGTTTTCTGATGTGTTTAAAAAGTTTCCCCAATTTTTATAAGCAGCTGCTACGGCTGTAATTCTCTAACCCCCCCTGTTCAAATCCCCAGCTTACAGACACAAAATTCAACTGATGTTAAGCAACAAACCAACGCAAAGCTACGGCGGAGTATCAGGGCCAGGCTAGAGGCTTTTTAATTTTTTTACTTTGAGAATAAAGTTGTAATATTACGAGAATCATTCAACAACCCATTTCAAAAAGACAGCTTGGAGCTCCGCCCAGCAGATGACGGCCGACCAGCTCCACCAATCAGCAACCAGAGTCCACTTTGACATCCTGCCCAGTTTGATGCTGCTGCTAAAAGATTTCCTGATTGGTCAAACCGATGCTAAAGTAGAACTTCACATGATGCTCCACATTCCTCATTTTAGGGAAGAAAGGGCTTCTTGCAAGAGCTGTCATAAAATACGACTTTATTCTCATAATTTCAGGACTTTATTCTCGTAACGTTGCGACTTCATTCTCGAAATAGAAGAAAATAAAATCTCTAGCCTGCTAATACCCCGTCGTACAAAGCAGAGCTTGTAAATGATGGGAATTAATGGATTACATTGATTCCACTAAATTAAATATTAGAAGAATAAATAGTTGATTTCCAAGGTTGGAGTCACGACTCACCGTAGGTTCTTAAGATTAACTTCAGAAATTAATTTATAAAATCAACCTTCATGTTAAAGTGCTAAAATATATGCAAACACCAGTTTAAAATGGGAAAAAAGAACTACCTTGGTTACTGATGCTGATTGTAATTTTATTACACCTGTGGTTAATGGATTTTGTTAGTATAATAAACCAATAGTTTGGTTCTTGAGTCATTAATATGCTTTTGGCTTCATTTACAGTTTATTTATACAGGATTCCTCTAGAAAACAATTAAGCTAAGATTAGATCAGATGAAGAGCATATATTTTTGTAATCTGTTCAGATTTTTAGGAGCATCAGCCTTCAGACACCTTCTGGAGCCTCGTCTCCTTCGTCTACATTTCACATAACGTCTGACAAGCTTCCTTCATCCTGCTGATGCGGCGTCCACCATATAGGCAGGTGCAGCTCTAATCGTTTACCACATCCTAGCAGGGCCGCTATTTTCTTTCCCTTCTCTACCTCAGTTGTGCTGCTTTGAGTCGGTCAGTCGATAAACTCCTGATGCATTCTGGGAAGTTATGTTTGCAGCTACTGATCAAAGGGGTCTGAATACTTTTGAAAGGCACAGAACCCTTTTTTACAGCGTTGAAAGACAAACCATTTCTTTTTTTACCGGACATGGGACATTTTTTTGGACTACTTGGATGTGCCTGCAGCTCAGAGAATGAGACTGGGTTTATTACACTTAGCTTGGCAACAAGAGGACAATTTGTAGTGTTACGTTTGTTTTTTTATGCTTTTGGGCTCCCTTTATTTATTTATTTAATAATTTTTATTTATTTATTATATGTGTGTATATCCTTCTATGTATGTAGAGTTTAATTTTTGATGTTTTCCTGCTTTGCAAAAAAGTTCGGTAAAAAAAAAAAAAAAAAAAAGGCACAGAACGTCGCCTGATGTGGAGGTAGAGTTCAGAGGTGGAGACTCGAGTTTGTGACTCGTACTCGAGTCGCACTTAAGTCGCATATTTAATGACTTTAGGCTTGACTTAGACTCGTGATTTTTGGCTTGTGAACAATACTTTATTTTTAAGTGTTTTTTGTTTTACTAACTTGACTGATCGCCGCTCGCCTTACCCGCACACAGCAGAGGTAAAAAAAATGCATGCATGCATGATCGACAAGCCAAGCTTTAAAAACTTCATGGCCGTCGTAGAGGAGAAATATGTTGTGAATAATGTTGTGAATTAGCACTAAATAAATAAACTGAATTGAATTTAAAATACTGCCTGCCAAGTCGGTTCTGTCTGTTCCAGGGCATTAAGAGACAAAAAGTTATTGCCACAATGTTTCTTTTATGAAAGAATTGTTATTGTCCTGCTATTTATTTAGGGTTTTTCTTTATCTGTTGTAGTTGCTAATTTAATAAAAAGCAGGATTGTGATTGTTTTTTTTTCTACAGCCCTCATTTTCACTTAAAAATAAAAGAGCAGACATTTACTGCTAAAACTAGAAAAAGTTGTAACCATAAATGTCAGGTAAATACTGTAAGAAAATTGTTGTTTTTGAAAGAAAAAAATAAAGATGCAAAATTTAACTGGAAAAAAATTGCGTGTGTGCTTTTTAAAATTATATTTTTCATTTAGCAGTTCAAGATAATGATCATTCCATAGATATAATAGCGACCTTTAAGCTATACCGTCTCAGTGACGGAGATGAAAACACAAGGAGAAACAAGCAAGCACGCAAATTATTGCACTTATTTTAATTAATGGAGTGATTAGAATTTATTGTGCGATTAATTGATAATTGTGACAGGCCTTCTCAAGACTTGAGACTTGACTTGGACTTGCAAAAAATGACTTGTGAACATGTCTGGTAGAGATATATCCGAGGTTATTGTGAAATGTTGAGATAAAGGGGAGCAGGACTTTAGCCACCGAGCTGCTTCATGTTCTAATGATCTAAAAAGGGAGGGTGGTCAGTTTTACCGAACCTCTGCAGCACATTAAGACATAAAATGCTTTAAGCGGCGACACTGATGTAAACTGCACGATGAGATGACAAACCAGACCGTGAGGAGGATTAGTGGTAGGACACATTAAGACAGATGGATGTTATGGAGGATGAGATACTCCTCAAGCTCATGGAGATGAGGAATGACGGAGATGAGGAGGTGGATTTTGGCTACCTCTCCTGTGCTGCCTCTTTGCTCTCCTAACTGAACTGCTGCTGCTGCTGCTGCTGGGGGGCCTGCTGGCTGTGGGGAGGAGAGGAGGAGGAGGAGGAAGAGCGAAGGGAGCAGGCTGCTGATGATGATGATGATGCTGCTGCTGCTGCTGCTGCTGAGGGAGGGGGGCGGAGGTGAAGTGCACGCCGAGTCCCACTGCTGACATCAAAATGGAGGCCATGCCTGGAGCGAGGGGGAAGGGGGTGGGGGTGGGAATGGGTCGGGATGAGGCGGGATGGGGGCAGAGGTGGAGAGCCAGTGAGGGGTGCAGGAGCAGAAAAGAACAAATCGAAAGAATGAGTAATGTAGCAGCGGCTGATGCTTTCACTGCGACGCACAAAGTCAGGCGGCAAAACTTTCAACTTTAGTCACAGGATTTGGTTCTAAAGGTGGTTGCCTGGGCAACCGTCTGCTTAACAGGTTTACAGCTGTTCTCTGGACCCAAAGCTTTACACTGTTCCTAGAGAGAAGATCTTAAATAAATAAGGATGTAGAACTTTGACAAGACAAAAATTAGAAAGGTATCCAAGGAGCCCCAAAAGGTGATAAAAATCCAAGCAATGAGCAAATCACACGTCTCCAAACCAGGTCTAAAAATGCCTGATAAATTTAAATAGATCTAAAGTTTCTGTCCTTTTTTCATCGTTTTGTAAAAAACAGACGAAGCTTCAGGAAGGAGAAACTGCCTGAAATATCTCAGCCTGAAATCCTGGTATCTGGGAGTGATCTTTGCATCAGGTCAAAGTTCTGAGACATGAGTTTGGTTGGAAGAGGCGTCGGTTTTACCCTCTGAGCCCAGCGAACGGCTCCGTTTGAAGAACAGAAACAGGCAGGATGCCCGGTCAGCAGAGGAAAATACCGCAAACTTAAAAGTCAGCAGCTGCAAAAACTAGAGATGAAGAAACCATGAATGATGAGATAAAACCATCCAATATTCCTCAATGGGAAGTTTATCCACTGAAATCTATTCCCTGGATTGCTGGTTGCCCAAAAAAAGTGAAGCCACCGTCCGCCATATTGGCACTCCCCACTCAAACGGAGACCCATAGTCAAAATGCCTCCCTGTTCAGCATTTGGCTGCAGAAACCAGCAGTTTTCTGTCTGCGGGAAGATGTTCCACATTATATGTTACAGTCAGTGGATGAACTAAGCAATAAATCCATCTATAGCCGATGGATCCTATAGTATAGCAGGGGTTGACGTTAAGGATTTTTACCACTTGCCCTTTGGGCCCTTTGGGCAAGTGACTTTCGCATTTCATTTGCCCAGAAACAATTTTTACTTGCCCAATATAATGTTTGATAAATATAGTTCCTAATATTCATTTTTGTATAAATATCAATGAAACATGTTTGTTTTTTAAATGTTTTTTGTAATTCAGTATTTTTTAAGTTTCCAGGTTCCTGGTGTGTATCTGCATGCGTCAGATAATGAACTCCAGCCTACATTAAAGTGTTAACATGCTTTTCAATCCTTCCTGCTCATTCTTTTCGAACTAAACTTTGCTTTAAACTGTTGTCTGCTTGGAAAAATATAAATTGTAATGTTAAAAGGGTTAAAAACGTACACTACTACTATTCACCAATCTAACATGTTTAGCTCTATAACATTTAAATGCATCTCTCCAATGTCTGAGAGAAAAAAATTTAATGAACATTTTTTAATGTATGACCTGCATCACTGTACAGAAGACTGCCATATGATAGAAATATTTACACTGTGCACATGGCATACAATTATTATTATTATTTTCCTAATCCCTGACTGATCATTTTTAATCTAGCGCGTATTATAGTATAGATTAATCTATACTATAATACTATAGTATAGATTAATCATTAATTCATCATCCAGCTGCTGCTCTGCAGAATTCTCTCCCAAAGAGCTAAGTCACGCCATCTGGCGGAAAATCACGTGGCTTTTTCAAATCACGCGAGAATGTGTACAAAACAACAAAGATGGCGCCGGCAAAGCTTGAGGGTCGTTTTCAGCGAATGTCGGTGATTTTAAAGTAATTTTGAGTGATACTTTTTTTTTTGCGATCATTGCACTTGCCCGCCAGGCAAATGCAATGAAATTTGTACTCTCCCAACAATAAAAACTACTTTCCCCGGGAGATCGGGCAATGGTTAACATCGAGCTCTGTATAGTATGTAGCATAACTACTTAGGATACATTTTATAAAATTAATCACCCTAGTGACTGAAATGCAGTTTCCACATATAGACTTTTGCTCCTTTAAGCCGGGCATACACCGTGCGATATTTTCAATCGTTGCACGCAACTACAGTTCACATTGTACGACGGAACCGCAAGGTTTAAAAATTCCCAGTTCACGATGTTTGTTCTCAAACTGTGCGACCCGACGCTCTGATGCGATCGACCTATTCACACTGTACGTCTAAGAACAAGGTGGGACTCAGCACTGAGAGATGGCGCTGGTTGGACTCATCAATCTGGAAGAAGTAGAACTCCCTTGTTTATACATGCGCAGTGCTGGAGGTTCTGGTAAACTCTGCTTCCACAGCAGGATTCGTTCACGACCACCTCACGACCTCCGACTAAATTTAAAACATGTTTGAACATCTTCTCCCGACCTTACGACTTCTGATCAGGAGGAAGTCGTGAGAGGTTGATCGCCCCTCGTTACCCCCTGTATGCTACACGATGCAGGACGCACAATGAGGTTGAAACTCGGCTCCATTGAAAATAATTCTCGCACGACTGGAGAAAAAAAAAAAAAATCGTACAGTGTACGCCCGGCTTTAGCTCAAGTGTTTGTTTCCATTTATCCTTGTACTTAAACTGATTCAGCAACTCGTCGTCAGGAGGTTTTACTGCACTCTACTAAACGCTGCTGATGTAGACGTGCTCTTCCTGGTTTGAAGCTCTTTGGTTGTTTGGATTTAGTGAAGCAATGATCCTAACAGGCTCCGTGAATGAATTCAATGATAAAAGGTTTTGTTTTAACTGGGTGAAGTGTTAGACATCAAGTCTGACAGAAATAGAAGCCATCTTCCAAAGCATTGGGTTCCTTTTCTAATGTGGTGGTTTGTGCTAACCTGACCTGACCGCCAGATGGATTTGCTCCTCATATCCATCTGGAAACCTTCAGTTGAAGTAATTTTGGGAAGGGGCGAAAATACTGGTTAGCTGATTGGCCTATGTTGGTGATAGACGGGCCAAATAAACCAATCAGATCAACGAAG